AGATTCAAGCATTGTAGTTTGTTACCTACATGATCTTGGGAAAGTTGGAAGATTCTCATGTTTTCTTCCTCTGTGTGATGATGTTAATTTCTGTTACTGAGGCTGTTCTGGGATTAAATAACAAGGGAAGAAAGCAGTAAGCATTGATATTTAGGCTATCCCCTGCTAGGTTGTGCCCCCTTGTCTGAGTTTTATTGCTATGAAGAGACACCACGACCATGGCAACTCTTACAAAGGCAAACGTTTAGTTGGGGCGGGCTTGCAGTTTCAGAAGTTTATTATCATCATGGCAGGAAGCATGGCAGCGTGCAGGCACACATGGTGCTGGAGCAGCCAAGAGCTACACACCTTGATGTGAGGGTAGCAAGAAGACTTTGACACACTGGGCAGGGCTTGAGCACGAGGAGACCTCAAAGCCCATCCCTACACTGACACACTTCCATCAACAAGGCCACACCTACTCCAACATATCCACACCTCCTAATAGGGTCATTCCCCATGGGCCAAGCATTCAAACACGTGAGTCTGTGGGGGCCAGACCTATTCAAACCACCACATCCCTTGAAGAAAGCAGTTTCTTTCCTCTTTCTGTCTCTAGGTTTTTCTTTTTCTCTGAACTCAGTTTCTTTCCTTCTTTTTTTTTGGGGGGGGGTGGGGAGATAAGCAGAATTAAAAAGCTGTGTGCCTTAGTCTGCCATTTCAGCCAATCAGATGCCTCAACTCTCTCTTCCTTTGTCATTCAACTTGTGTTTAGTAAGGGCTGGAGGTGGAGCACTGTGAAAGGAGACAAATATTTAATTCCACCTTCCAGTTCTCCAGGCTTGTTATTCCAGTTCACAGGTAGAAACCCGATCCCATCTGGAGCAGGAACTTCTTCAGTGTTAATCTGTTGTTACTGGACTTGTTAAAAGTCTTGCTGACACACAGAAGAAAGTGCTTCCTTCTTCATCAGAGGCTTGCTGGTTAATCTAGACAAGCTCAGGGACACTGGTGGGAAGTGCTCTTTTCACTGCCGCAGGGAGGATCCAGTTAGTTAGGTGGGCATTTAGAGAGGAAAGACTGCTGCTTTAGAGAGGAAAGACCTCTGACAAGAGCAAGACTCATTTCCTCATGTTCTTTACTGTCCAGGATTTCTTTTACTGTTCATGTTTGAGAAAAAAAAAAAAAAGGAAAGGAAACAATGAAACATTTTAAAGTTGTTCTCTTAAAAGACTAGACTCTACTTTTAATTATTAATGATAAGCTTTGTGTCAAAAAGAGTTTTTATGGTTTTTTAAGAAAACATGCAATTTGGTGCTGAAGAGATGGCTCAGTGGATAAAGTACTTGCCACAAAGCATGAAGACCTGAGTAGAGATGCCCAGAACTGTGAAAAAGCTCAGGATCCCCAGAACAAACCAGCCAGACCAAGTAGAACTGGCATGTTCAGAATTCAGCAAGAGACCCTGCCTCAATAAATAATGTGTAGAGTGACCAAAGACACCTACTGTCAGCTTTGTGCTTGTTACAGTGCATTCATGCGTATATGTAAGTGTGCATATACCACACAGAGCTGTATCAAAACATGAGAACACAAATGTGTGCATATGTACAAGTGTGCATATGTCACACAGAGCTGTATCAAAACACATGAGAACACACATTCACAAGCACATAAAAAAAGAAAACATGAAATGTTAGCCTTCCGAATTACAGAGGGAGCACAGGAGTGAAGAGCATGGGTAAGGCATTCAGAGTGAAGTTAGTGTTGAGGCGTGGCCCATAGAATTGCCTGTAATCAGGTGACCCATTTGGGTTTTGTTTTGTTTTATTATTTTTTGTTTTGGCTTGGTTTGATTTTGCAGTCTACTGCTCAACGTGATAAAAGTAGAATGATTACTCAGGGGAGTCTAACCTCTGTTTGCTGCAGAAATCTGGTAGCAATATTTTTAAGGAGTCCATGTGAGCTTGGCCCAGTGTGCTGCTCACCATCACCTTGCTTGCTTCCAGAAGAGCAAGGATGCATGTCATGAGGCTTCTTATAGCAGTTGTTACTACTTGCTGATGTACCACACCAAACATTACTCAGAGGAGGAATGATTTTCTGAGGGCTGGGTCTGGCCCAGTGCTGTGTTTGGTAGACACCAATTCTCCTGTGGTCTGATTTGATCTGAAAATCTAGGAAATGAAGAGTATGTTCCTTACCCAGCTATTAGATGTCTGCCATTTTCCTCCCCGCCCCCGGCCCCCAGAGGAACCTCCTGAGCTCTTTGGCATTTTTAGATGTGCTCCAGGGGCTTTTCGTTTTTAGTTCAAGCCCATATCAGTATTTATACTTGAGGAGAATGCGGAGTCTGAGACTGAACTGACTTTTGAAAACTGAGTAACCAATAGGGTGCTGACCTCAAGGCCATTCAGCTTGTGATGAGCTGAAGATGTTTCCTAATGAAAATCTCAGCCTAGCAGTGTATGAGCCGAAGAGAAACAAGAGTATTCAGCTTAGCACTGTAAAAACACTTGAATATGTTTTAGTGGCCTTACAGAGTGTGACATAAACCCCAGAATCCTACTGTGCTCTACATTGTAGTCACAGTAAGTGTATCCTGTGAGTTTCTTTGACCCATACATCCAGATACGAAGCTAGTTGGGAAAGCTTAGAGCACTTAGAAAACTTTATTCAGCTTTGTGAATGTAACTTTTTTATTTATCTTTTGGTAAAATACTTGCCAAATATATACTGAGAAAAATCAATGAAATAACTTGTAGACTGAGTCTGTTTATAAAGCAGTTATAAGTGGAGGGATAGCTTATTGGAGGTAATATATTTATTTACAAGAGGTGAACACAGCCGTTTCTTCTCTTTTAGAATGTTACCGGATGCCTTCCTTGTTGGTCGTTGCAAAGCTAAGCTTGAAGTTCTACCCTGATTGCCCTTAAGCTTTAATAATAATAACATACTACTTGCCTCAGATATAGAAGTCACATGCATGCAACAGCATCAGATTCTTAATAAACAGATTTAAAAAGTAAAACTACAAAACTTTCTTTGTGTCACAGGAAAAAAAAAGTTTAATTTGCATCAAGGCTTTCTGCTCCCCAGCTCTTGCAGAATTGAGAGCGGAATCTGAATAAATGCTAGTGTTTTTGCTAAGAAGCTTAGTATGTGGGTTTGGATATGGTAGCACCAGACTATTGGTCATAGGGAGCAATTGCCAAGTGGAGAAAATGGAGATAGTTTATTCTTTCCATGTGGGGTGTGTGCGTGTGTGTGTGTTTTGTAAAGGCACAAGAATGTGTAAGTGCATATACCCATGTGTGGGTATTCAGAGCCTAGAGAAAGATACGGGATGTGCTGTGCCATTCTCTGCCTTATTGCCCTTGGACAAGGCCTCTCGTTGAACCAGAAGCCCAGAAGCTCACCTTTCCAACAGGCCCTGACGCTCTCAGGTTCCCATTTCCAGCCCCAGATGTGGCGTCACAGACACGTGCAGCCATGCCTGTGAGATAGCTATTAAATAGCAGATTAATGTCACGGGTTAGGAACTGCTCTGTATTATGCGCATTGCCATTACATCCTGTTAATACTTGATATAGAAGTCCAGTGCTACATGATGGCTAACAAGTGCCTGTTGTTGTTTTGTGATGCTGGTTCACAGTAGTGAGACTGAAGGCAGAGTCACAGCTGGCTAGAGTAATATGCTGTGAAGTAGACCGTCAGCCCCTAGCTTTGGCTCAGTCGGTAGTTGTTTGATGTTTGCCACATCTTTTGAATACTCTTTGGCCTTGCCACTCCATCTGTTGAGCTGAGTTTATAATTGCCCTGGTCTATCTCACAAAATATATCGTGTGAACAAATTAGATAAGTGTAAAAGTGCCTTGGAGGTAGAGCCACTCCATGAATAAAAATTAGTATGATGGAGCTACCAAAAGTGTGTTTCAGAAGCTTGTCTGCTTTGTCTCCAAAAGCTTCTAACTAGATAAGGCTTCATAATGGGTCCTGTTAAGTGAACCAAGCGTGCCTTATCATTTCATGACTATAGATTTAGAGAAAAGATCTCTATACAAACATTTGTTACCTTGACACAAATATGCATTAAAATCAGTTGTAGCTGGGCATGGAGTGGTTCCTATCTATAATCCTAAGCAGTTGGTAGGCTGAGGCAGGAGGATCATGAATTTGAAGCTGCCTGGGGCTACCTATTCAGTTTCAGGCCAGCTTAGGATACAAAATAAGATCTTGTCCTTCCCCAACCCCCCAAACCTGTCCTGTTTAGAGAAGAGGAAGGAGGAATTGGCAAACATTGGGTATAAAACTTCAATTACGCAAGCTGAATGATTTCTGGAGATTACTGTAGAAGATCATGCCTATGTTTCAGAGCACTGTCATGCACAGTTAAATACATTTTGAGTGTAGATCTCATGTTAAATGTTGTCAATGCTATGAAATTTAAGTTAGTCATATTTGAATTAAATAAAACCCTAGTGACTAGTTTCAAACAACTGATAACTGAATACAGTTTGTGTGGTTAGTATGCAAGGTGAATTTGAAGCAGTTGAGAGCTAAGTCTGTGCATCACATGTAGGGAAGAAGCGCTGGCTCTTCTGAGGAAATCATTATTATTTTTAAGGACCTAACATTGCCAGATTGAGATGGTTTTTCAGCTTCTGTCCTATCTTAAGGCATGTGTTGTTCTGGTTGCTTCTTCTCTATCACCGTTAGCGTTTTCCTTTTCCGTCATTATGATGTGGACAGAATGACTCACTGCAACTCAGACATACCCTGAGTCCCAGCACATGGGAAAGGGCATCCTCAGAAGGAACCGGAGCCACCAAGTGCTGTCATTCCTCTTCCCCTCTCTCTTCACACAAATGCAGTCTGTTGCAAGGTGACAGAGCCATCGTGCTCGGTCCTAAAAAGGAAATCAAGCAGACAGTTAACTAGGTGTATGTGAAAAGAGGCTGTCCCATGCCAACCCAGAAGCTGTCATCTTTGAGTCAAATTGCTCTCTTTCCTTTTGCCAGGGGACCTTTCCTTGTGGCTCTGGGGAAATCTTGGCATCCAGAAGAATTTAACTGTGCTCACTGCAAAAATACGATGGCCTACATTGGGTTTGTTGAGGAGAAGGGAGCTCTGTACTGCGAGCTATGCTATGAGAAGTTCTTTGCTCCTGAGTGTGGCCGGTGCCAGAGGAAGATCCTTGGAGTGAGTGTTTGAAACTACTTCTTTATTTTTAGTGCCTCTTAAAGCCATGTAGATTTTGTAATAAACCTTCTCATTATTTTTACTTTTTATTTTCTTCTTGCTTTATCAGCCCTCTCTGCTTTCCTCACTAGTATTTATTATAAAACAAAATAACTAAATAGACCTCTAAAGAAGTATATCAGACTCATGGGGTTAATTGTCTCTGGTGTTGTCTTACTGAGTGCCAGCTTGTCTGGTGAAAGGCTAGCCTCTATGGGAAAAATATTTTACTGTGGGTGTGCTACCTCAGCAAGACCTTGTTTGCTCAGGAATGAAGAGGTCGCCCAGGACCACACACACGAGCTCTCAGAACCGACACCTTTGCTGGTTTAAATTAAATTCTGTAGCTTTTGTAAGTTCAGCTTTCTCTACTTATTAGAGTTCAAGCACAGGACACTGATCTCATGAAATATACAAAATATGTAAAATGTGAAGCTTACAATATTTTTATTTTAATGAATATAATGTTTAAAAATGTGACTTCAGTTATAGAACTGTACATGTGATAGGAAAAGCATTTCCAGGTGCAAGTAATAAATAATGATGAATAAATGTACATCCTGTCACGTAACATCCAAATTTTCAATGACATCATAAAAGTCAGGCATCTACTGTAGATGACCAGTAGTGGAAATTTTATTTTAGAAACCAATATACTTGGCTTTAACATAAAAAGGTTGGAATGGCTTTGCTGAATTCTACCTACTATTCTTAATATGAAACTACAATAAAGAAAAAAACTCTAGAAAAATGTGATTTACTGAAGACATGTTTAAGTAGGTCTGAAACTTTAAAAATAGTTTCAGTTATGTCACCTGACAAATTCTATGCTATAATTCTATGCTGGTAATAAAGGAGTATAATGGCTAGCCTGTCCCTTCATAAATGCTGACAGATAATCAGTAAACTTAATGTCAAGTTGTCATTTTAGTAAATGAACACATTCTGTGGCTCATAGAATACTTAATTAATAAAAGTCAATAATAATAAAAAGCCATAAAACCAGGAAAAGAAAGAATTCCTCTGTTATTAAGTATTCTTCAGAAATTACTTTTTAATTGCTGAACCTCTTCTCAATCTTAGAAAACTAACAATTCTTAGAAAACTTACAACTCCAAACCTCTTTTTTAAATTTTTTTTTAAATTTATTCACTTTATATCCTGATTGTAGCCCCCTCCCTCATCTCTCCAGGTTCTATCCTTCCTTCCTCTTCCCCCCATCTTTCTCCACTATTCCATAAGAAAAGGGGAGCCCTCCTTCACTACCATCTGATCCTAGCCTATCAAGTCTCATTAGGACTGCCTAGATCCTCTTCCTCTGTGACCTGGCAAGGTCGCCCCGACATGGGGGAAGTGATCAAAGAGTGGGCAACTGAGTCTGTTTCAGAAATAATCCCTACTTTCATTACTAGGGGACCCACATGGAGACTGAGCTGCTTATGGTCTACATCTGAGCAAGGGGTTTAGGTCCTATCTATGTATGGTATTTGGTTTCTGCATCTGTCTCTGCAGGCCCACATTCAGAAGGGCAAATAAAATAGACACCCAAAGCAGTTGAAGAGAGGGAACAGGATGGGAGCCTACCATAGATGTCCTCTGAAAGACTCCACCCAGCAGGAGATCTATGCAGATGCTGAGGCTCACAGCAGAGCACAGGGAGTCTTATGGAAGGGGGTGGGTAGAAGAACCTGGGTGGTGTGGGAGGGGGAACTGGACAGGAGCTCCACAAGGAGACTGACAAAGCCAACAAATCTGGGCCCAGAGGTGCCTGCAGATACTGATGCAACCCCAGACCTCTTAATGATTAAGATCTTTTCCAAATCCTGGAGTATTTCACCAGAAGGCCATGAAGGACTGGGTTCCTTGCGTTTGTAGTACACACACTTCTCTCAATGGAGTAAGTGTATAGTACAGTTACAGCTGATCCAGAAAGCTAAACACTCAGTGACCTGATTGGATTGTTCTGATTACATTATTGCTTCCATAATGCACTGGAGTTTAGGTTTGTTTTAGTTTTTAAATGCTTCCCCCTCTTTCATGACATTTTCAAGATAATGCCATGAAATTTTTTTTTGAGTTAATGCGTCCTGACACCCTTTGAAAGAAAGCAGAATGTGCTACAGCAAGCACTTGTGGAATACTTCCCTATTCACTGTGTGTGTAAAGGCTGGTGATGATGGTTATTCTTAGGTGTATGGGTTTGTATTTATGAGAAGCAGACATATTGCAATAGCTTCCAGGGATGTCTGATTCTGCCACTGAGCATCTCTGGTTTCTTTGAGGAAAAGTTCAAGACAGAGACACGTGCATATGTCTATTTTGAGTTAGCTTGGTGCACCAGTGAGAGTAGGTATTGGTGTGTTTATTGTCTTTTTAAGTCTGTCTGACTTTCCATAACAGGAAGTCATCAATGCGCTGAAACAAACCTGGCACGTGTCCTGTTTTGTGTGTGTGGCCTGTGGAAAACCCATCCGTAATAATGTTTTCCACTTGGAAGATGGAGAACCGTACTGTGAGACAGGTGAGATAATAAGGCATTGGCGCCTTAGTTAAGAATGCAGCTGAACATTTGTTCAGCTATAAAGTTAAGAGAAAAGCTAGGAAACAAGGTTTCCTACTTGTTTTAGAAGTATTAAGTATTATTCCAAATAAATAGCAAAATAATAATAACTGTTTGACTTCGTCAAGACAAGCATTTCCAACTTCATTATGAAATTAAGGTCAGCATTACTTAGTAGGAAAAATACTATGTTCAGATCTCCAATCATCTATAGATATGAATTCCACCCAAAATGTAGCTTAAAACCACATATGGTAGTAATGACCCCCAAGTGGACATAAGTACAAGAAATGGTCAACATTCGAATGTTACTGCTTTGTTTTTTAAAGCCACAACCTTGAAAATAAATGTAAAATCCTTTGCCACCTTTACTGAATAGAAGAATAATCCTGGCTTAGATTGCTCCCTGGAAAAGTTGTTTTCAGTCATTTAGATTCTGTGCACCTACCTACTCCATTTGTTTTGTTACCTGAACACCTAACATTTCCTTTTCTTCTGCCACATCTGAAAGTGAACTTTCTTACCATTTATTCTTTCTTACCATTTATTCAGATATTGCTTTGACAAAGCATATTTCAAAATATGAAGCATGCTTTCCTATATTCTGCCTCTATTCACTACCACAAACTATTCCCACTATTGACTTTTAATCTTACTTTAGATTGAAATGCAAAGCGTGGTCCTAGAAAGAAGGGACTTTTGCACAATGGTAAAGTTCCAGAAGCCATCAGCTTTTGTCTGAGGCTGGTTCTGTATCACTCAACGGTTTGCTCACATGGCACTGTGGTTCTCACCTCCCCTTAGCCCCTTAGTCAGGGAGGGTTTGGCTCTCTTCCAGATTGTCCACCAGGAAGCCCCAGAACCTCCAATAAAACACCGCATGGGTTGTTAGCAGTAAAGTTGGCTATAAACTGCTTACCGTCCTCAGAATACTGCATGTTTTGCAGCTACTTATTTTTTTTTTCTGAAGAGGGACTTAGTTTTTGTTCAGTTGATTGGCTGGATTGTGACTTTAGCAGCTTTGTAAGACATCCTGACTAAGTGTACCAAAACATGTTTTAAGAAGCCCTAACAAAAAACTAATGCACTGCCTGCAGAGGGGGAATCATGATCTTGTTTTTATTCTTCTTCCTTAACCTTCAACCAGTTTATTTTTATTTTTTTATTTTATTTTATTTTTTTTATTAATTACACTTTACTCACTTCGAATCCCCCCTCCCCCATGGTTCCCTCCCTCCTCCCATCCCAATCTCTCCCTTCCTCCACCTCTGCCTGCATGCCCCTCCCCAAGTCCACTGATAGGGGAGGACTTCTCTTCCTTCCTTCAACCAGTTCTTATTTCAGTGTTCCCATCTCAGTAGATGGCTGCACTGTCCACTGTCCAGACACTCAGGATTCCTCTCTGTTCTTTCAAACCCAGTCTAACAAGTAATTCTTGGCGACTCCACATGCAATGGATATTGGATAATCCTCTCCATCCATCTCCAGTGTCACTACCTTGCTCTTCTTAACAAAAGAAACTGTGGCTGGTTTTGTTGGCATAGTACAGCTAGGAACTCAGTCACAGTCCTTGTTGGTGTATTTTTTTTAATCTGTTTTATTGTTATTTTGGGTTCTTAGACCTACTACCCTTCCAACTCTTATTCCACCCTAATCCCTTCCAACCTCCCAATGCTAGGTAGAAGAAAAAGAAGGTTAGATGGAAAAGGGGACATAGACCTTTATAGGCGACTTCCTGCTGGTTTTGGACATAGAGTTTTTTTGAGGCAAGTCCAGTCTTCATCAGAATACCCAACAGTCCAGCAATCCAGCAATCCAGCAATAGCAGACACAACAGTAATCACAGCAGCAGCAGCAGCTACTGCTTCTGCCACCTCAGGCCTTCTTTGGGTTCTCCCATTTATACCCTCTTCAGAGTTTCCAGAATCAAACTATCTGTAGTTGGCAAAGATCATACCCTTACTGGTGCATGAGGCAAATCATAATCACCTGATGTGAAGCAGCCTCTTATCCCATACCTAGGATTAAAACAAAAACATATTCCCAAAATGTCACTGGGTTCTTTAAGAAACTAAAATTCTCACTACAAGTCCTCATTTGTGAAAGTGTTCTGAAACCTGAATGCTAACCAGTAAGATTTGCCGAATTTGTTATAAGTTTATATTAACTAGGCTCATTGTTGCAAATGATTGAAAGTCTTCTTGCAGTTCCTTGAAACATGCAAGTGTAACAAAAACTATTCAAAACAGTGATCTCTATTCATGCATCTGGGCATTTAAAAAGAGAGACATGTAACACAGAAAACATTAAAAAAAAAAAACAAAACCCTGTTTCATAACTAGGTTTCCAATGCTGAACATAGTATCAAGCTAGATATTGGACCATCTGCAGAGACTGCCTGGTCTCCCATCTAATCCAGTGAGGAAATTCCAACCAAGGTGCCCCAGTCCCCCTCAGTCTTAACCTTTGCATCTCATTTAACTTCCGTTTTACCACTGTTCTCTGTGACTGTCATTCCAAAGCTTCACCATGTTTCAATGGTGTCTCTCTCCTTGCCTGATGCAGATTATTACGCCCTTTTTGGAACAATATGTCGCGGATGCGAATTTCCCATAGAGGCTGGTGACATGTTCCTGGAAGCTCTGGGCTCCACCTGGCATGACACCTGCTTTGTGTGCTCTGTAAGTAAACTGTGCTGTGCTGGTCAGAGATCAGTGCTTAGTGGAAGTAACAGCACTTTGCTGTTTCCGTTCCTCAAAACTAACAAACAGTGGGTTTTGGTGTCCTTAAATGTTGGGTTTGAAATTATTTAGAATATAAGAAGATCTTACCCTTCAATGCAGTCTTGTTTCTCAGGAGAATATATTTTTTCCTTTTTTAGAAGTATGAGTTCTTAAATTCTTTTATTAAACAGTTTTTTTTTGATACATTAGGTAATTCTTAAATAGAAAACCACTTATAAAAAACTGGAGAGCCAGCAAAATGGCTCAGTTTTCTTCCTAACTGATAGATTATGGATTTTCTTTTCTTTTTGAAACTATGAACATGCAAAAAATACTTACCTATCTCGCTTGCTACTTTAATACCTTTGGGTTTGATTTTATTTATTTGTATGTGTATGTATGTGTGTTTGTCTGCATGTATATGTTCATGTATTTATGTCCTTGGTGGGGACTGAAGGGCAACCTCAAGTGTCACCCTCAGGACACTGGCTACCTCCTATGAGACAGCGTGTCTCATGGCCTAGAACCTAGCAATTGGAGACCCTCAGGACCCTCCTCTTCGCCTCTCCGGGCTTGGGATTATAGACCTACATGTGCCACCATGCCCTGCATTTGTTCATGGTTCCTGGGGGTCAAACTCAATGTTTTATTGACTGAGCTGGCCTCAACAGCTCTTTGTAGAGACCTGCTCTCACTGTGTACTCCTGGCTCACTTGGAACTTACTATGTAGGTGAGACTGGCCTTGAACTCATAGAGATCCTCCTGCCTCTGCCTCCTGAGTTCAGGAACTAAAAGTATGCATCACTGTACCTAGTGTTCTGATTTGTATTTTTAGTGATTAAGATAGATCAAAGGATTAACATTAACCTAAGATAAGTTTTATGATTTAGAAAGCTCATATTCAGTACAGACGCTTCATTCCAATATTTGATTTCTGTTACTGCTGTTAGATTTAATCATATCTGATGGTTTTTTATTCCCATTGTGTAAAAGTATTAGATTTAGATAATGTGAAATCAAATGATTTCTCCAAATATTACCTTTGAGCACATTCTTGTTCTTATTTCATTCATCTTTTAGACTTCATACAGTTTATTAAAAAGAAGCTTTTACATATTTACCTTCTCAGGAAGATCTTCTCTTGAGCATTGTCATTTCCAAGACAGCAGAAACATCATGAAGGCAAAAGCGTGGGTGGCTGACCACAAAACTTACCAGGCAGATACCGCCCACGACATTCACTATAGAGTCAAGTTAAATGAGTTCTTTCATGAATAGATAGTTTTATTCGGGAAGTAAATTAAAAAGTCGGTGCTGCAGAGATGCCTTGCTGTTCTTGCAGAGGGCCCAAGTTTGGTTCCCAGTACTCATATCAGGGAGCTTACAAGCAGGCCTGCATTCATGCACATGCTCAGACACATGCGCTTGATAAAAGATAAAGCAAACTTGAAGTAGTAATAACCTATGGCCAGTGTGCTACAGGGCAGACAGACAGTTGGGTTTGGTTATGCTTGGCAAAGGAGTTGACCTGTGTTTCTTTTTGAATGCTTTAATTCTATGAGGAAACAGATTCAAAAGACTGATTAGAATTTGTATATGATGTTTTGATGTATTAACATTTTCATTAGGAGTAAGTGCTTTCCTCTTGGTAAGGAAGAAAAATCATCAATGATTTAAATAAATCAGACTGTGTTCCAGAAAAAAAAAATCACTCTTTGCTTTTCAAAGATGACATGGAATGTTGCAGTACTCGAGAAGTGTCACGGTGTCTCACACAACTGTGCTGTCACTCATTGGGGAACAGCAGGCACTTTCTGTTGGGAGGTTGGATTTAAGTGATGATATTCTTTTAAGTATTGCTTCTTTTTTTTTCTTTTTCCTCTTTCTCTCTCTCTCTCTCTTTCTCTCTCTCTTTCGCAGGTGTGTTGTGAAAGTTTGGAAGGGCAGACGTTTTTCTCCAAGAAGGACAAGCCACTTTGCAAAAAACATGCTCATTCTGTGAATTTTTGAAAATCAACAGTTCCAGGAAAGAGAAGAAATTTGAAGAAAAGGAGGAAAATTAAAATTACCATTTAATTTTTAGTTTTAATATTTATATGGCATTCTAAAATAATAGTATCCCTGAAGGGATAAACTCCAACATTAAAACCCAAGTCTGTGAGAAAACACTTGGCTTCAGAAAGCCCAGATAGTTTGGCATTTATTATGACTTGCCTGTATTTTCTGCCCATGAAATGGCCTTTATAAAAATCAATTTCCTGGCTATTAAGTTTATCTTAGAATAAATTAGCAAAGGATTACATTTTAGAATTAAAAATTCTTGCCTCTATGCTGAAGTACACTTTCTTTCATTGTCAGGTAGCTATGAGAATCCACAGAAGGCAATAAAAGTGCCTTAAACTTTATTAATAAGAATAAATTGTTTAATAACCTATTTTTATCTTTAGAATAGTAAGTATGGGTTTAAATACATTTTATGAGTAGGAGGTATCTTTTTTTTCTTTTTAGTATGTGCACATGCTTTGGTCTTATCATTGGTCTTTTCAGTAAGAAGGTCCAGGAGAGTTTTTGATCCAAGTGTGTCATGCCTGTAAGAGATTTTGTGACCTCCTATGTTCTCCTACAGGCTGCCATGTTGTTTAAGGCTGCAGATGCTGGCCCCTCTTCAGATGGGGCAGTTTGTCTGCATTGTGTGTGGCCTAGCACCTGGCCTACACTGCCATCTTTCATTCCGAGATGAAGATAGTTTAATAGTGTTAGATGCTAATAGTTTTTACTCTCTTTTTAGAAGAGAGTAGGTAAAAGATAAAGGAATAGAAATTGGAGGAATGAAGCAATTGTACCTGGAAAGTATAAAGAACCACTTCCCCCTTACAGATAATGGACTGATTAATTTTTACAGTTGTGTCTCTGACTGAAGATTTGAAAAATCCTTACCCAGTAATTTTTTTTTTTGGGAGGGGGGGGTTGGGGATTATGATAAGATCCAAGTCTGTGTTGTTACTGTGTCTTTTGCTTATTTGGAGTTGTTCTGGGATTTTGTTTGTTTGGTTTTTGTTTGGGATTCTTTTCTGAGTTAGGCAACTTTTACTCTCTGGTGGTTGGTAGTACGGGGGAACCATGATGTATCACTTACATCGCCCTGCCATCTGTTCTCCGTGATTGGGCAGAGCATTGTGCAGGCACCACTTGTAGTCAGGAGAATGACCGTGAGACCACTGTGCAGTGTGGCTCACTGCCCAGGGAGAAAACACATTATGAGATTTATTATTTTTCTCTTTGTTTCTACAGTGAATGAAAGCCCAGGATCCTGCTGGGGTATAGGTTGAATCTGTTGGGGACAAGGTGTTTTCAAAATCCAGACAGAATTCCTAGGTTCTTGCTGTCCCTCTCCTTACCCCATCACTCAAGTGTACCTGTTCACCCATTGTGTGTGTGTTGGAGAGGAGGTCTTAAACTACAGTATTTGTTTAACCTCCCCAAGAACTTTCAAGGCATCTGTCCTGAAAGCTGCTAATCTATGGTCTAGTAAATTTATATTAAATGCAGATAATAGTGAATGGGGAGGGGGAATAAATGAACAGCAGGGGTGACACCAAACCTTTGCAAACCAAAAGCTTCTCCAGTAGCAGCCCAGACTACCTCCTCATCTGTGCCAGTAGGGAGGCTGGGAGTGTCATCTCTGGACCTTCGTGCCTTAGGTCTCGTTGCTGCTGCAGTGACCAATAGCAGACTTGATGGCTCATGTGCATTATCTCAGATCTCAATGTCAGGCTTTGGCTTTATACTGCAAAATAAATTGGTGATTTTGTTTTGATGTGATAGTTTTGTTTTGTCTTTTAGATGATGTGCCAAGGTAACATTTGAGAACATTTGCATATTTGACAACATTTGCCTATTCAAAAAATTTTCTTTGACTTGGATTCCTTATAAAGTTATCTTTCTTTAATGAAATCATTTTTATTTAGCCTTTAATGCTTTGTGTTATTTGTGGAGCATAATGCTGCATATTATAACACTATTTCTCTAAATTTAATTTCTAAAAGACTGTTGTGGCTTCCTGATTTGGCATTGTGTCTTTATTCTTTTCCTGTTTTATGGCAAGTTTTGTATCCATTCCTAAAGCAGTGACTCCTGGGAGATGAGTTCTGATCCTAACGGGAAGAGTCTGCCTGCAGTGAGGACTGGCATGCTTCATTTACCAGCATGGATCTCTTAAGCCTGGCACAGCACTTTGCTCTGCTGGCGACCTCCCTGGGTATTCATTATAAGTCTTCTATGTCAGTAGCATTCTTTATTACGTTTTCACTGAAGAACATTGAGTTTTCCTCATGCTAGATGTATATTTTGAAGGCTCCAAATGGAAACCATAGTGCATGACTCTTAATGTTCCTCATTCGATTTCTCATTCTCAAGACTTTGATGGGCCCAGATTAATACTGCTGCTCTAATTGTTTGGGCTAACTGTTGCCTGCTGAGATAACAATCTCTGCCTGTATTCCTGGTGACTCCATGTTTCCCGTTGGTGTGGTGGCCTTCCCCATGTAAAACTAAAGCCTAATTGTTTGACCATAGTATGAAAACAAAAGTAATCATTTATCCTTTGAATACTGATATAAAACTATGTTTAAAATTATCTACAACAAAATGTACTCTTTTCCAGGAACTTTAGGTTAGAAGAACTTCCATAGAAAAGCAATTGCTGCAGTGTGAATCTGTGTGGCATTAAATTTTTGGCATTTGCAGTTCAATCATCTCCATTGGAGTGGAGGAAAACGTATGAGATAGTCTTAACACAAATATACCCTCATTTCATTCTGTCCTTCACCTCCAAATGTCTAAGGTGTTGGAATTAGATGCTTTCTGTGTATGCTGTCTTTTGTGTCTTTGCATTTTTAAGTTTTTGTATACCTGGTCTTTTGCTTTTTGATGTTTTCTAATTAAAAACAAATCACATGAGAATTGTAATCGGTATAGTGATACTTTAATGAGCACATACTCAATAAACAACAGCAATGACGGCAACACACATGCCTGGTTTTTCTCTCTGGGTGGTACGTACTTTCACTTAAGAGAACTGGGGAAAAGTCACGTTCCATCCTCACATGACTGGAGAAGGCGTAACAACCACTGAAGAGTCTCTGCCTCGGTACTAGCCAAACCAATGCCCTAGACATTTGAAAATGTTACACTCACTCTGTTATACACCTTTTGTACTTTGCATGTACAAAGTATATAAGACATGTATATAAGTTAGGAAAGCTGAAATCATTGACTGGAATGATGTCATAGATCACAACCAGAGAAGGAAGTCCCTGATCTTCACATCTGGCATTAGCCAGGGTGCATCCCATGCACCCCTCAGCTCACTGATTAGCTGGTGCAGCACTCGATAGGCCCCTTCAGGTCTTCCTCTTTTGTTTTATCAGCTTAAGGGAACTCCCCCCCCCCCCCGCCTTTATAAATTTAGAGGATGTCTCTGTTTCAGGCTACATGTGGGGAATGGGAGAGAAACTCAAGTCTATTTTGCTCACAGTATATTAAACTCCAGAAGCCCAACTTTTAAGGGCATCGAGTCTGCCTCTGACGTTTTAATAGCTGCTGTTTGGTTTCTGTCAGTCACGTCATTGCACATTAAAATGCACCGACAGAATAAGAGATCTGTCATTCCTTCGTTAAGAAACAGTAATCCAGTCCGAGATTTATAGGCTTAGGTCTCAACTGTGTGCTCACAATAAACCCGCCTCAGTGCACAGACCAGAGCACCCTCCCCACCAGTCAGTGTTTTCTGCTCACTTGTCCCCAACATAAGACTATCAAAGGTTTTCCAGCTGAACCACATATAAAACCTTTCTGCCAGCAAAAGCTTAATGTAGGTTGGCAGTTTCCCTTCTTGAGTACTCTCAGACAAGATCTTGGTTCTATCAGAAACACATCGGCGCTGATGTATTATTAGCAGGCCTGGTGTTAATTAGGGAGAATTACCAGAAATAGTTTGCCTTGTGGAAATTTATTACAGAATCACACTTGACTGATGGCAGAATAGGAGTTGCTGAGAGAGAGCAGCTCCCACTCATAACCACTAATTAATAGGGTGCCAAAATTCCGCAGAGAAGGTTTCATCCCAAGTGTGGGAGCCTCGCAGGGAAAATGGTTCCTGTGCAGTACTTAAAATTTAACAGAGGAAAGGAACCGGACACATGGCTACCTAACAGAATGGCAGGCTGTGGGGGCCATTGGGCTGAATGAGTGAGAGGGCTTAACTCCATAAGTGCCGAGCCTCAGAGCCGCCTGTGAGTATGAAAAGGTTATACACGCCCAGATCTCGCTATATAGCCCAGGCTGGCTTGACACTTGAAATTCTCCTTCCCCAGTCTCTGTAGTCCTGTAATTCCATGCTTCTACCATAATGCCATACTCGTGCATATTATTGTTTTTAATGTGGCAAGTGTCTGCTTCCCAAGCCTTGTTTTATTAAGGGAATTCGGTGATCACCATGTTGCCTGTGATATGTTATTGAATTCTTATTCTTGATTCCATGATTTAGAGGCTGTCTGTAAAGGTAGCAGGCTCATACAGTGCTTAATTAGAAAGGTGTGGCTACTGCCCTTGACCGTGTCGGAGGAGGGGGAGGTACATCTATGATTGGCATAGTGGCAGAGCACTGGGGGGAGCCCTCCTAAATTACAGCTTGCCAAGAAAGCGATTTTTTTCCCTGTCTGTAACTGCATGTAATCACACACAATAAAGCTTGGAGCTGTTGTTTAGTGTAGAAGAATAAAACATTTCCATGTCAGAAAACCACTGATTACTGACCTCAGGGAGAAAAAAAATAAAACAATTTAGAATTCGCAGAGGGTCTAATTTTTCAATTTCTCAGTTATGCTAAATGCAGTTCCTAAGGAAAATAGCTCGTGTGCCAGGCCTGGAGATTGATTGACACAGTCTCTCTGGGGGCCATGTTTCAAAAGACAGTTTCAAAACCTCTGCGTCCAAAGTGTTCTAGTTGGATTCCAAGTTAGATTTTCACTTTTGCATTCTAAACTGTTGTATTTGTTCCCTCGTTCAAATATAACTTGGATTTTTCTTCTCTCACCGCTCCCTCCCCCACTCTTTGTCTTTGCTTGTCTCCACAAGCTGGTGCCCTTGTAATTGACTCAACAGTCTTGTTTCAGGTATTGACATCAGTTCTGATACCTTCCTGTGCGCCTTGTGCTTCTGACTAGTGAGTCACTAAAAACCTAACTTTTCTCTAAGTCAGAGGAAAGGCGGTTGGCGCTTCAGTGACATCATAGCCTATTAGTTTTGCATAAATAAAGGTTTTCTTTTGTGAGACCCTATGTTGACGCCTTTTTGACTCTGGAAGCTTTGTCCCTGTTTGCTTGACAGTGCTTTCAATGTCCATCGAGAATGAAGTAGAGAGCAGAAAACCTGGAACTTCACTATGTTAAATTGATTGTTTCATCACCTGACACCTGCCATTCATTCTGCTCTGTTAAACTATTATGCTACTGTGTAAAACTTTTTGTTTGTTTGTTTTGTTTTGTTTCTTTTGTGTATGTGAGTGTTTTGAAACAGAGTTTCTCTATGTAGCTTTAGCTGTCCTGGACTCCCCTTTTAGACCAGGCTGGCCTCAAACTCACAAAGAGCTGCCCACCACTGCCTCCCCAAGTGCTTGGATTACAGGCATGCACCATCACACCTGGCCCTGTATAAAGCTTTTTATGGTACCATTTTAAATTTTTTGAATAAAAATAAAATAAAATAAAATAATTAGGCTGGCAGGTTCAGAGGCAGATTATTCCTGAGAAAGGATTCTAACCCGGGCACATCCATCATAGCCAGGTTAGTCCTGATCTCTCAGACTTCAATACTTTTTGATAAAGCCACCACAGATTTTAATAGTATAAATTAAAGCGAGAGGCAGAGTGTTTTGCTTGTTTGTGTTATGTTAGTTTGCATCCAACCAGAACAGAAATCACATAGTAATTTAATAGAAGTTAAGGAATTTGGCTTAAGGAATTGTTAAGCAGATGCAAGATAGCGAAGTAATGATGAAAATACATAGAAAAGTCTAGACTATAAAGGATGGTAGAGGTCAGTAAGTGCTTGGCACAAAAACTAGGCACCCAGGTAAAAAAGCCCAGTATGGGGACACACACCTGTAACTAACATTGAGGAAAAAGACAAATTCTGGGGCTTGCTGGTGAGACAGATAGCCTGGCGTCATCTGTGGGTTCCAGGCCCGTGGGAGAGCCTGATTCAAATCATTGACCCAGGAATGTAATCGACATACAAAACACAAATAGATAAAGAGTGTGTAGGTTGAGGCTGAGGACGGGCAGCCTGAGAAGGAGGTCTGTCGCTGTGGTGAGCGTTTCACCTTGTTGGAGACAGTGGTTTCAGTCCACAGTGACAGAAATGTTCTCTAGGTTACTGAGAACATTATTATAGAACTCAACCTTATTTCCCAGCACAAAGCTGTTGGTGGCTGCTTAAGGAGACGGCTGCTACTTCGGGCACAGGCAGGCCTGGAAGAGAGAGCAGTATGGCCAGAGACCACCACAGGGTGTGACCACGTCGTGAAAGGCCCGCACTCTGGACTCAAGGTGGAACAGTGCACCGTTAGGTGACCGTGCCCACATGCAGCACAGGGGATCAGACAGGAAAGCAAAATGCAACATCCCAACCGGAAGAGCCGCTCCTTGCTGCTGCAGCGTGCTTCTTAGCATGGCAACGCTTAGCACTGACTGCAACGAAAGAAAACTGCTGGAGGCTACAGATGGGCCTCCAGCCCAATAGCCTAGCAAACACTGAAAGGAAAGTTTGGAACTGGACATCAGTTACTGACACTGGATTCAAAGGAAAACCAGTTTCTCCACTAAACTGACTTCTGTAAGATGGAACATTGTGCATCGTGCGGAATTACTCAGCCATGCAAGCTGAGGCTGGGGCTCATTCAAGCTCTTACCTAGCATATCAAAGGCCAGGGTTTACTATCACAGAAACAAGCAAGGTTGAACAAGAAAATCCAGCCTAGTGTGAGGGCTCACACCTGTAATCCTGATACTCAGGAGACCAACAAGAGAACTGTCATGATTTTAAGGACAGCCAAAATATAGTGTGACCTTATTCTAGGCCTACCTGGGCTATGGAATAAGACTTTATTTAAGAAAAAAGATGGCTGCAGATGGACTTCAATTGGTAGAATACTTGCCTAGAGTTTCACAAGACTCAGTTTGAACACTGGCATAGCGGTACGTGCCTATAATCCCGCACCGGGAAAGTAGAATCAGGAGGTTCAACAGCTGACAGTTGTCTTTTGTCTTACATGGGGAACTCAGAGTTGTTTGGATTACATGAGGAAAAATGAAGGGCACAGAAGGGTAAGGGGAAGAGAAGAGGTTTCAGTCTAACCTGCAAATGTCTAGAATAACCGAATGGTTCGAAATAAGAAGTGAGATAGGTACTAGGACATGACCAAAGAAAATTTTGCATACACTCATATTCCGCCATAGTGCTTTTCATGTATGAGAAGGGCTGAATGAAACATTTGCTACTCAATTGGGACTTGAGGTTACCAAGTTACTCTTTGTGAGCCTTTGTGTATGCACATTAATCACCTTCATAGTTAACAGTTTCCTGTGTGCAGGAAAGGATAAGAGGGTAAATCGAGCCTTGTCAAGACAAGATTCGGATTTGTTGTATAGGCATTGTAACTTGTGAGCTGTCTTATCCTCCGTAATCTGAGGGAACACTGGCGATTAAAAGCACCACTACCTGTAATAAAGTTCGTTCTTTTTGCCAATAAGTTTTATCCTCATACCAGTATAATAATGAGCTAGTAGAATATGATCAAAATGCAGTTTCTCTGAATGCCAGTACAAGTTATTGTCCAAACCATTGATAGCCAAGCATTTTTAATCCATTTTTAGAGATGAGGAATTGAAATAACCCTGAGAAGTCATTTTCTAAAAATATACACCCTCTGCCTGGAAAATTTGAGAGTTAGACCTTTTAGTAGA